CTCTTAATTTTCACAATGTCAATGGTGAAACAAATCTTAGGTTGTAATCATCAAAGGGTACCAGTTGAGGCCAATGTTTATAATTCAACTGGCTTGACAGAGCAAAATAGGGGGCAGTAGGGATGTGGAGAGAACATTCTATAGCTTCCAGACAGCAGACCCCACTGTTTCTCCATAGGAGAGTCTCCTTTCTGGCTAGCCCTTGAAACAGTTCCCATTGGAGAATGACCAACGAAACCAAAATTTAAATGCATTCTTCAATATACTTCCTGTCTCCTTCAAGGTCAAAGGAAATGGAATATATATCACTCAACAGGTACTGACCCATTAGCTAATCCCCAAACCAATGAAATGAGGTTAGCTGTGCTATAATAACAAAAACACTTCTTTTGACTCCTATTCAAAGTGTTTAGGTCATATCAATTAATCCAGAAAATGAAAAGTGGTTTCCCAGATGCTTAGAACATTAACTTGGACGCTCACTTTTTTGATTCTTAGGGTTTTTAAATCTTTGACATCAACGTGAAGTTTTTTCCTATAACATTTGAAAAATGTATCACAAATGACTATGGAAAATATGGAATATAAAACTCAACACATCTGCTGAAGACATTTTTACATACAAATATTTTATAAAGTTAATGATGAAGTTAAAAAAGAAAGACTAAGAACCATGGTTAGTGTATAGCAAAAGGAAAAATTTGCTTCATACTGTATGACCTCAGTATGTATTCAGGCAGCCACACCTTCACTGAAATTCATCTTTATTATACTTGTTATTGTGAAGCGCCATCGAGTTGGTTCTGACTCTAACGACCCTGTACAGGGTTTCTGAGGAGTGACTGGTGAGTTTGAACCACTGACCTTGCAGTTCAAACCAACCTTTAGGTCCAGTGCTTTATCCTACAGCACCACACCATGTCCATTCAATAAGTAAGTAAACACTTCACTTAACATGTCTCTTAATCTATGGTTCTACTAATTCAGGTAGGTATTCACATAATGTGGTGAATGAAATTTGTTCAGTTACACAAGCAGTAGCCAGGTGGAATGTGAGCACAGGCCTCTCTAAGAATGTTCATGTTCTTTCCAACTATATCACTCACTCTGCTCTGTCCTAGTCTCAGCTTTAATAACAACTGCCTAATGTTTTCACGTAATGGAGATGATGGTGAATGAGTTGAAATGAAAAGATTGCAGCATTTTCCCAAACTAACTCCACAGTATCTTTACAGTATATTTAAGGTTCAAGGGTTGGCTGCTTCTCAAAGTAAGAAAACACACATGTGCTATTGAAGGAACTTCTGCCACTGTTATATTCTAGGTGTTTGCCTTATTATAATTATCTGTCTGTTACTATTACTGATGTTTGTAATACATCAAATTATTTGATCAATTTAGGAGTCCTGGTGTGGCACTGTGGGACAGATAATGCACTGGATCATAAGGTCAGTTTGAACCACAACGTTGGCAGTTCAAATTCACCAGCTTCTCGGAAACCCTACACAGGGTCACTACAAGTCGGGACTGACTCAAAGACACTTAACAACAGTGGTGGTTATGTACCATGGAGTCGTAGCAACCCTGTACAGGGTTTCTGAGGCTGTAAATGTTTATAGGAACAGAAAGCCTCATCTTTCTCCCATGAAACAGCTGGTAGTCTTGAACTGCTTGTTGACCTTGTGGTTCGCAGCCCAATTCGCAACCACTACTCTATCAGAGCTCATTTTATTCTTACTGCACTTTCAACTACTAAATGATGCAACAAACTGCTATACTCCTGAATCTATACATTGGCTCAGATTCATTACTATTGTTACATTTTTACTTGTTCACCTATCTCCCTCTTCAACATTCTTACTTTTTTTCCTTTTAATATGAACCATGGTTTAAGTCAGTAACCAGTATTTTAATATTGGAAATGTTGAGTTTAATATTCCATATTTTCCATAGTCATTTGTGATACACTTTTCAAATGTTATAGGAAAAAACTTCATGTTGATGTCAAAGATTTAAAATGCGCAAAAAGGTCTTGGGAATGGTCTAAAATGCATTGTGTTCCATAACACAGGAGAATGACAAGTATCAGATACAAAAAAATAATAAATAAAAAAAAAACCCAGAACAGTCATTTCTGTGTTGAATATTCTGGAAGCATCATACTGAGAAAGACATTTTCAATGGAAGAATGTCTGAGGCGATAAGAGTATTCCATGCAGAGGAAGCAATGGTCACAGAAGTGTGTAGCTGCTATATCAGGGGACTAGAGTTCAATGAGGTAGCAGTGTAGAATAACAGGGAAAGGTGAACCCTGAAAAGTGAGCAGGTTTGCATACGAAGGCTCTCACACACTACAGTACAGGGCTTTAATTCTAGTTTGTATGCAATATTAACTCAACTCTTGAACTGAACAAGAAAAGTCTTATGTATTGGGGGTGGGGTGGGGGGGTTGCTGTGGGGACAAAGTTGTAGAACTAACTAGCATAGAAACAGCCTAGTAACTGATCATTTCTTACATATGACCAGCCTGGAAGAGGATTATTTGTTTTGTTTTGTTTTGTTTTTTATTATTCCTTTCCATAACTGCATTTTGCTTCTTAGATCTCTGGTGATGACAAGTCTCCTAGGACATTTTATATTTGGTTTCATCTTCCTAATTTCTTTGACGTGTATACGCTTCCACATCAAAAAAGTTGTATGCAAATCCTATTGGGTTCTCCATTGAATTTTCTTCATATTAGCAATGCATGTTCCTTAGACATGTCATTGTCACATATCATTAAATATGTAATACCACCACTGAAAGTCAATTAATTTTGGGCCCATTTTCTGGCCAGGGAGACCAACGTATCTGCATTGAATAAATATCTTACAGACTGCTTTTTCAATTTAGAATCCAAATGACTTCATTTCCCACTATTCTCCCAGTGTAACTTCTAGCATTTTCGTCCATAATTCTGAGTTGAAAAACTATTTCACTATGCTTCCATCATCAATTTTATAAAAGAGAGTTTATAGCTTTGCTTTTACACTTTTCCACATGAATTTTCCACAGCACTTTCTCAGAATCAAATATGCCAAGGTCTATATTTCTCCATTATTTTCGATGGCTCCGAATAAGCAGTTTGCTGTTAAACAGAACCACAGCAACACAGTTGGCAAGAAAAAGTGCACTGCAGCTTCTTCCCAGTTGAAGAGAAACTCCACCTCTATTTAATATCTCTGAAATGGACTTTTAGCATAAAATTCACTAAGTAATAGATTCCGACTCATACTGAACTCCTTTAGCACAGAAGGGAATGTTGTTTCTGCTATCACAATGGTGAGAACCATACCCCTGCCTGTTTAACGAAATGAAACATTTCCTCAAAATGAGCAGGAGACATAATGGGACTCTACATTCCTTGTTCTTTTCTGTTAATTGAATGGGCACATGAATGCAATCCATCACCACGTGTCCTTACTGGAAGGGCCTGTCCTATACCCTTTCCCTCCTTCTTATTTACAAAGACTTGTGTAAAACAAGTCTTTTATTTACAACAATTGGAAAGACTGGCCAACAATCTGACTACTCAGAAAAATAAAAATAAAAAGATCTCAAATTGGCTTACATAAAAGTAAGGATGGAAAAAATGAAATTCTAGAAGTTGAAATATGCCTGAAACAGTGAAGAAATGGGTTATTTTTTTTCTTCAGCGAAGGATAAATCTATTTTATTCCTAATTGTATTCAGCAATTTTCCTATGTAGCTGCCAATTTTTTTTCTACCCTAGAAAAATCATTTAAAAATCTGAAAATTACAAAATTTTAAACCATTTTACAAGTTGAATGAAAATATTTTTTAAAAATCTGAAGGATACAATCTAAAAAAATCATAAGGATGGTTATCATTTCTGGATGGTAACCTTCTGTTGTTTTACTTTACATAACTCTTTTGTCTCTTCTATTTTCCAACGAGTATAAGGAGCTCTGGTAGCGTAGTGGTTACGAATCGGGCTGCGAACCTTAAGGTCAGTGGTTCGAAACTACCAGCCGCTCCGCGGGAGAAAGATGAGGCTTTCTACTCCCGTAAAGATTTACACCCTCGGAAACCCTGTACAGGGTCGCTATGGGTCGGAACCGACTCAAAGGCACTTAACAACAACATATGATTGCTTTTACAATCAGAATAAGAAGAACTACAAAGGCAGAGAAAAGGGGGATAAAAGTTAGCTAGTTAGTTAGTTGTTTGAAGAGGTGATTATGTGAGATAAATTAGGGAGGTGTACACATTGTGTTGAACCTAGGACAAAATAAACACAAATGCAAACATCAAGTACATTCCAGGCATCCTGAGCATTTTCTACCTTATTCATCCATGGGAGCATAACTTTATCCTTTAAAATTTCTTTTTAGCCTTCCAACATACTTTTGAGATTGCTATTATCATTATTTTACTTAAGAGGAAAACAAAGTTCAGAGAAATTTAAGCAGAGACAGTCATGTTCTCTCATCATACTCAGTAAAACTCACCAAGCCAAGTCATGCCACATTACAGAGGAACAGAGCTCTGATAACACAGGGTAGGCCTTAGTTACGTTAACAAAGGCTCCTCTGATTTTTTCACTAACTGAGTCTATGAATATCTTTCTTCAGTAAATTTTGGTACAAATCGGAGGAAATCTCTGAGAAATTCTATGAATGAGTAACTACCAAATGGTCAAGTGTGAAATCCAGTGTGGCTGAAAGCAGCCTGGGAACCTGCTGCTTCCCTCCCACTATCTCTAGGGGCATATCAAGTGAGAAGAAACAGGAAGTGTCCTGTGGAGACCTTTGTTGCTTGCAGACAGGTGAAACTCTGAGTGTTTATTACCTCTCACCACAGAAATGACAGCAACCCTACCATTATCCTAGCTAGATTAGTTGTTGGAGAAAAGGTGATTTTTTTAAGCCTCAGCATATATTATTTTGGAACAATGATCCCATCCACAGTGATCAGAGAAGTCCATCAAATAATTTACCTGGGAAATATAGCCTGGAGGTACATGGATGGGAGGAATAGATCCATTTGGTGACATCATGGGAACTTCAGCAGGACCTAAATGAGGTAAAGTAAGCTATTAATAATTGAAGAACCATACAGTATCAAATAATTATTGCTATTTGCAATATATCCTCAAAACTAAAGACACTTAATCACTTTGATTACTTTTACTTCAGTATGTATGCCCTCGCTTAAAACCAAACCTAAAATCTTTAATGAAAATGAATTCTCCAGGTTTGTAACTAAAGAAAATATTTTTTAAAAGAGTTGTGAGCACCCTCATAAATATTCAGTTCCCCCACTGCCTCAAGTTCCAGAGAGGAAGACAATGCAGCGACTGGAAAGATAATCTAGGAACCTAATGGACAGAGAGTTTATGTTAAGGAGGGAGGCGCAAATGAGAAAAGAGGTAGAAAATGGTGACACAAGTCACAGAACGTAATCAATGTCACTCAACTGTACAAGTAGAAAGTGTTGTATTGGTGAATACAGCAAAGTAAAAACAAAAAAATAGCGAATTTATGAAAAAAGGATAGTCTAACATATAAGTGAAATGTAGTATTAATAAATGCTTAAGCCAATTCTGAACAGGGCTTTGAATGAGCACTTTATGACCTCCCCCAGAGAATTTGCATTTCCACTCCAGTTATATCTCAAAGTGATGCTAGAAACCCACAAAATCTTATTAAAATGTTGATTCTGACTTAGTGTATCTGGGGGATAAATGCAAATTATCAGCCAGGGGCCTAAATAGAATATACCAGTTCAAAGTCTTGGTTAAGAGCTGATAAAAAAAAAAAAAAAAAAATCCTACAGACTTGGATCCTATCATTTAAATTTAGATTATGATTATCAATAAGTTTCTGTAATACGCCATTACTGTGAAACAAACAACAAAAAGTACTACAAATCAATTGAATTTTGCATGGGTCTTATATTGCAGGGAGAAAAAGAGATCAAGATTTAAAGACAAGCACTCTTAGGTACTATTTGGGAATCTCATGTCAACAATAATTGCATTGTTTCTAAACAAAAAAGTTCCCTTAAGAATCCAGGCATCCTCTGAATTATGTCACTAATCTTTTACAAAAGATCTATGTTAGTGCCTGTTTCCACTAACCAAAAACAATCCAAAGAGGACTTTTGCTTTGACAAAAATATAAAGTGAAAAACAAAATCAGAGTTCAGTGTTAATAGAAGAGGCACACACCCTTAAGTGACAGTGATGCCATGCTCCATCCCCTGGAGGTACACTGGGCATCTCAGCATCAAGCCGGCCACTGCTCTAAGCTGTGTCTGTGGAGTGCATGTTACTGCAATTTTAGGGTCTCTGTGATTTGGTATGATTTAGTAAGTTATTTTTTGGACCTGGGAACACTCAAAAATTTTTTTCTCATATAAATTAATAGAATTTGCTTCTTCACTTTACGTCATTACAGCTTTCAAGGGTTTCATAGGAATGCTTTACTTTCAAGATAGCAGGGGTAATCTTTATTAAATTCAATGAATGTTAAATCACATACCTACAGCAAACAAGTCATAGCAGTTACGTAAGACATAATCTGAGTTGATAAAAATTAATTGCAAAGAAACTGTTTGCTACATCAATATCAACTTATGATACCCTTCCAAAGATCCTATGACTAAACAATTACCACGGCTAGAAGTGTCAAGAACCTCGTGGTCACTAGCTCTGCATTTGGTAGCTAGCAACCCACCTTACAAATGTGAAGCCAAGGCTATGGGTTTCTACTTTTGAGATGCGACTTCCTGGCACCAAGTCCCCTGTAGTGTTTATTTGCTTTCTCCTAATGTGCACTCCACTGCCAGCAATGAAAACTGCACAGCTGTAACAGAAACCAAGAAAAATACAACACTTTTCTTGGCAACAGAGGGCAGGTTCTGTTACCCAGTACCACATTATCACGTAAGCATAATGCACCTTTCTCCCCTAAAGTACAGCTCTGTGCTTCGATAAACTTACAGAAATGGGTTGGGTGCAGAGACACAACAGATATGGGAAAAAACATAGGAACAAGATAGAAAAGTTAAGATTCATGTAATATACCAAATAACTGGTTACCAAAGCACAAAACTATCTGATACTCTCTATGTACATACAAAATCAGAGTGGTCTCTCACATACTAACATATTGTGATATTAGAAATAAAAGAGCTTTATATAAAAATGGATAATAGCATACAATATGATTCATATGCATTCACCAGTTACTGACGATACTGGTTTGTAACCCCCATCCTTCTTGTGAGCTTCCGTATTTTCCAGAGTCAACAAATAGTTTAGGTAGTTACTTAACACAGTCAACTCTCACCATACTCAACATCATACTTGCGAATTCATCTATTTGTTAAACTTTATTTATACCCCAAAATCATTAACTAACAGCACCATCAGAGCCATCTGTAGACACATGGACAGACACACAAAAATTAACGACCTACACATTCCCAGCTGAGGTCAAACAAGGCCATGCACTCTGCCTTCCTGTTTAAACTCCCATACTCTAAACAAGTATCCTTTTCATGGTCTATTTATTGTCAGGCTTTTTGCGCTTTGTGCTTTTAATTGGTGATCTCGCCATTTAACATGGTCCCCAAGAGGAGCGCTGAAATGTTACTAATTGCAAGAACGCTGTGATGTGCCTTCTGGAAAAAATATGTGTGTTAGATAAGCTTCCCCTCAGGCTTATAGTGCTGTTGGGTGTGAAGTCAATGTTAATGAATCAACAATATCTATTAGATAAGATGTATTTAAGCAAAAACACACATAAAACAAGGTCACACATTGATCAACTGATGAAAATTATCTGACCAGGCCCGCAGGAACCTAATTCTGTGTTCACCCTATAAGCAATTGCCCAGGATCCATTAACTCAGTTTTTGTGAGAAATTTATAGAACATACTACTGTAAAACAAAAACACAGATCATCCTTTCAGTCTCAAACTTGAACACTTCATATGAAATCCAAGGGTCAACCCATCAGGCTCTATGGGGAGCAAGCATCAAAAGGATGTGCTCTGCTCAGGACTCACACTTGCTGTGTGACCTTAGGCAATTCACTTAGCCTCTCTGACACTCGTTTTTGTCACCAGTTATAAATAATAATTCCTACTTCATGGTGTGTGTGTGTATGGGGGGGTGTTAGCATTAAATTTGGTAATACAAGTCATGCCTGACACAATAACCACTCATTAAAATGCTAATAAACATCAATATTTTCTATACATTTGATTTTTATCTTACTTACAGTTTTTCACTGATTTGTTACAAATACATTTTAACAACTGTTTTTTGTTAGGGATTTTTGTTGTTGTTGTTTTGGTTTTTGTGAGCATGATTTTATAAGAAGTGTGTATCTCTGTAAAATGAAAAACAATATACTTAGTGAAATATTGACTTGAGTAGCAACACACCTTTCCAGGTACTTCAGAGTACAAAGTGAGGAAAGAAATGTTACCACCTCAATAAAGCATTATTTTTAATCACCAGAATGTATACCACACAAACAGGCTCTTAACCCCAGACATGATCCCTAAAACTGCTATACTCATTTGTGTAAAATGCTTTAAAGAATGTAACACAAGTAAGTGATTTATAGCTAGAAATTTTCAAGAGTAGCCAAATAGCTTTAACATGCTTGTTCCCCCTACCTCTTATCACTGTCGTCAAAATATTTTTAAAGGACAGTACAAAATACACAATAATGGCTTTGAAAAACTTAACTGCCCAACTTGGTGCTCTAAAATTCCTCTCCTTTCTGAAATAATCTATTGCTTCCTAAAGCTCTCAGGAAAGACAAATCTCTGAGAAAGGCATTGTTGTTGTTAGGTATCATTGAGTCAGTTCAGGTTCACAGCAAACCTATGCACAACAGGACTTAGTGCTCAAACTGTTTCTTTGAGTCCGTTGCTACTGCCACTGTGTTAATCCATCTCATTGGGAGTGTTCTTATTTCATAGACTCTCCACGTTACTAGAAGGAGCTCTGATAGTGTAGTGGTTATGAATCGGGCTGCGAACTGCAGGGTCAGTAGTTCGAAACTACCAGCTGTTCCACTGGAGCAAGATGAGGCGTTCTGCTCCCGTAAAGATTTATAGCCTCAGAAACCCTGTACAGGGTTGCTATGAGTCGGAACCGACTCCATGGCACATAGCCACCACCACCACATTACTAGGCATGATATATCCTTCTCTAGGGACTCATCCCTCCTGATAACATGTCTGAAGTATGAGGCAAAGCACTGTGACTCCTTAAAAATGCATCACCCTGTCAGTGAGTTTACTGCCTTTGATCAGTTGTGTATTTGAGGAAGCTCTGATATGACTGTAACCCTCTCCTATCTAAAACCCAAACTTCCCCTCTCTATGCTTCTAGGAGCAGTTTCCTTTTGTTTTAATTAATTCAGACACATAAGACATACAGACAAAGGCCATAGCTGCTAGAATATGGTGAAAAATTGCTCCCTTATTATTCAAACCACCAACACAGGATTTACAACAGTCTCTTGCCTCTGCAAAAACTAAAAAATAAAAACCCACATGATCTTCTCTAAAAACCAACATCCTCAAATCATTAGACAATTATATTTTGGGGGAAAATTAATCTCTTAAAGTGTTTCTTTAATGAAACATATTGGAATCCTGGTGTGACATTGTATAATAAGCATTGGACTGTTAACCAAAAGGTTGGTAGTTCTAACCTCCCAGCTGCTCCTTGGAAACATTATACAGAGTTGCTATGAGTCAGAAGTCCATTTTAATGGTATTTAGCAGTAACTACTACAACAAAATTCTGGTAGTGTAGAGGGTCACACAAGTTGTACTGCTAACTGCAAGGTCAGCAGTTTGAATCTGCCAGCTGCTCCAGATGAGGCTTTCTGCTCCCGTAAAAATTAATAGCCTCAGAAACCCTATGCAAGATCTCTCTGAGTTGGAACCGACTCTATGAGACATAACCTTCAGGAGTTGCACAGAGTTGCATGCAGATATAAGGAATCCTGGCGTGGCACTGCAGACTAATGCACTGGACCAC